CCCATGTATGTAGCAACCAAGAAACCCTTCCCATACTGTTTTCTACCAAAACACCTAGTAAGTCTATTAAGGCCAGTGTACCGTAGCATTTGAACCTCATCCTCAACCGGTTTCCTACTGATGGCAAACGAACATGTAACGAACTCAGCGTGCCCTGGTGGAACTGGTTCCTTCACAGCCCGCTCTCACTAAGCTAATGATAGTGACGCAGGCACAGCCCGTTCAGAGAGACCTTTGCTGCCCTCTGCCTGGCTCCTCGGAGGACGCACTGCTGAAATACGAACATCGGATCACCTGCTGCAGAATTAACACTCTGTCTATGCTGAGTTAAGAGTTAACTAGCGCTCTCTCTAGCAACTGTTGATGTGCTGCTTGAGCAGGCTGAAGGTTATCCAGGGACAATTTCCCTTACCTGCAGACCACATGCGTGCATTAGGGCTAGACATCTTAAGAAGGAACTGCTGCAAAGATGCATCCTTTCTCTGCCCTGACTCAAGCCAATATGTCAGGGAGCAGCTCTGCCTGCAGCTCCCATAATTCAGCAGTCTTAAAGCTTGAAACATCAGTTAAACTGCACAAATGGTCTGCATTTCTCTGTGATAGTGATCGTTGTCCAAGAGTGCTGAAGCCACTGATACCCCCAGTGGAGGGTGGTAGCTGTGATATTTGTCCCTGCCTAACACTACCCAAAGTGGGCTAGGAGAAGCTGCTGGCCTTACCTGACCAACTAGAGGCATCTACAGCTTACAGATGTCAAGCCAAGATGAACCTATAAGGCCTATGCTCACATGACTGCATCATTGGAATAAACATGTTTATAGTATTCAAAAAAGTTATTTCAAAAATAATATAATACAAACCAGTCAAAAATGTTTCATTTTGTCTGTAATGGTCCTTAAAATGCATTTCTTGTAGAATATCATCATATCATCAGCTGACCCCTGAATATACTTATATTATCATCTCGTTCCATGTCTCATCTGCTGCATCTCATAAGCTTATTCAGAGGAAACGCTGCAATATTATTATTGTTATTCCTTTAATATTAGAATGTCACACTGCAGGACAGCAAATAAACAGTTCTTGGAGTGTTGGCTAAAAATACCACATACTGAGATTTCTTCACAGATATTAGGACAAGTTCATAAACTTTTCACTAAGAAAAAAGATACACCAAATCCTGAAATATTATTTCAAATCAATCCAGGTCACTGGATTTTTTTAGGCTGATGACCTAAATGGATAAACACAGTTTCAAATAACCCCTCTTAGAAATTTCTTAATGAAAATTTTATCTTTTTCCTAATAAATATTTTATTAAATAAAATCTAAAGAAAATATTTTAGCTCAGGAAATCAAACTTGAATTTGGACATTCTGGCTTTCTGTTTTCCTCCCAGTGCTTACAATTGGATTATTTTTCCCAGATATTCTGAGAAGTGCAATCAGGCTGCCTGATTTAGAGCACTGCAACATCTCTTACCTTCTGAAGACAAGCAGATGTTTGACCTTTTCCCATCCTCCACAGTCTTGCCCAGATAATTGCTAATAGCTCTGAGATGGATACTGTGCCCTAGGATGAATCAGCAGAGCAAATTTGAAAACATCACAATTATTTAGTTATTTTCTAACCTCTTATTCCTAATCTAGACAGAAATCTTCCATGAACATCAGTGGTGTTGAATGTATTGGCCTATGGATCACTATTGCCATTTTCATTGACAACCAAAGCCAGAAGAGGCATTAAATTGTCTATCTGCTGGAGAACTTCCCTGATGTACTGCAAGTTTTTAAAAATCAGCACATTCATTGGTCTTCATGATGCTACTGAAAAACAGAATTTTTATTCTTTATTACTTGTATTTGCTTTGTGTATAAACTGTAAAAATACACAGAGCAAATCTGCCAGGTAACACATCTAGAAGTTCTAGACATTGAAATTTTCCTCTTCACCTCAACAGACATTGGCAGACTCCTCAAAGAATGAGACAAGGCATTTGCTTTAAGTTGTGCATCTGACACCATGACAACACTGGGATAGGTTTGTCAAGGCTCAAAGAAACAAGGGACAATTGTGTCCTTACTAATGTGGGAGGTTTCTATTCAGTAACTCCACCTTACTCTACTCCTTGCCCTTCTCCTTTTCTTTTATAGGAGCCACATTTCTCTTCCTGTTATCAGAGAATGCTTCTCACAGGTGGGAAAGGTCTTTTTTTCCAGCAGACACAGAACAGTGCAGAGTAGAAACATCTGTGCTGGCTTTGCAAGAGTTAACTTACATGTCAGGAAGAAGCTCCCCTGCAGGAGGGCAAAACCCTACCTGGGACAGCTGCTCCACCAGGGCAGGCTCCTGAAGGGCTGAGTTGGCTTCTGCTCCCTGAGCAAGGGGATTTACTGCCAGTTCAAAAGTCTTGGTGCTGAATCACTCTTCAATATTTGATCTACAAGGATTTTAATTTTTAAGTGTGCTCTAAAAGGTGCAAGCCAGAGGCTGAGCTGTACTGATGTGACAATCCAGGAGAACAGCAGACCTCTACGTGGAGCCCCAAGCCAAGAAATCAGGCACCAAAGTACAATCAGCTTTACAGGCTAAAAGCAGCTAACCTCAGCCAGCACAGAGGGAGTAGAAAAGGTGATGATGTGGGAGCAACAAACTAAAAGGTGGACAGACACTGGCAGGCTGGTTACCTACCATCCATGATACAGAGGACAAAGAGGGCACCAATCCTTCTCATCTGTCCCAAAAAAGGAGCTCAAGCAAGCCATAAGAAATAATGTAGAAGCAATAAACAAGAGAAGAGAGAGGACTGAAGGTCATGGTGGAGGGCTCCAAGACACACCACCCCTTAAGGCCAACAGTTCTGGAGCAACACGGCTCAGCAGCTGCTACAGGAGACACCAGGAAGTTTAGGCTGAAAAAGTCCACGTGGAACATGGGAGTGGCCACTGGGCTCCTCCCAGAGCTGCTCTCAGCCTTTCTTGTCCTTCTGTGGCAACAGCAGCCAGGCTTTAAAAGGCTTTACAAGGTAAAAAAGACCAGGCTTTATTAGAACATAAGCTAAAGTGAATCTCTTTTAAATAGGACAGGCAAGAACAGAAATGCAAAGGCTCTGAAATGCATATCTTTCCTGTCTCCTGGCAGTGAGCCTCCTGCTGATGTCCTGCTGCCACATCACTTGTGCAGCGCTCTCATGTGCCAGACACCTGTGCACAGTGGATTAAAAATCACCAACGAGCAGCTCTTGTCACAGACAGACCAAACAAACACACAAATAACCTACCCACGGATCACGTAGTTTTCTCCTGAAGCGCCCCACGTGTCTCTTGAGCATCCAGACAAGTGGTGGTTATGGCCACTGTTTTGGGTTCAGGGAACTCATCTTGCCCAGGCTACATACAAGTCTTCCTGGGCAAGCTTCCATCTCAGGCCTATTTATGAGCTTCCCTTTAGGAAGGATAGCCGGGTAAACGTGTGGTCATCAGGAGTGACAGCTTCACACAGCAATGATGTTAATACTTGTAATGCCACTGGTGTTTGCAGCTTCATTTTTAAGCAGCAGTGACAGCTCCAACGTCCCCAGATCACAGTGTTTTATGCCTTATCTGTCTGTGCACACATGAAAATCCACAGAGACTTCGACATCAGGTTTTAAGAGGGCACACAGGTTTCTGTCAAATAAAATGTCAGGACATGATCTACCATATTTCACAAGCCTTATTCTGCCATTTAATTTAATAACAGCTAAATATCAAGTGGTTACTATTTTGATGCTGTGTTCCATCAGCTATTGAATTAGAAATAATGAGGCAGGTCTGAATTTGTGACTCGTAGCCCAAACTAATCTCAATCACACAGCAACCGCCATCTAGTGGCAACTGCTGTAATAGATGATCGGCTGTTTAGCTGTCCTATCGCCTCCCACAGGAACAGGAGTACAGGACAAGTTCACTTACACATCACAATTCTTTTCCAGACAACATAAATAAATTTATAGTCATCAGTACAGGAAATTTTTATTTTTTTTTTCCTTTTCTGCTATTACAGACTCTGTCATTGAATTTGACCAGTATTTTGTGTATATGACAAGCCTTTGTAGCTTCAGGTATACTGCTGAATTTCAGAGGTGTTTAAAATGTATGTGTGGTGTTTTCCATGTATATTTTTCAATTTGTCAGCAGGTTTAATTCCAGCAGGCTCCTCAACCCAAAATTTTCCTTTGAGGAGCTTTCCTCCTTGCAACCACCCAGTGCCAATCCCAACAGGAGCTAACTCACAGGAGTAAACAGTTGCTCTGTTAGAAAGGACTTTCCAAAAATAAACTTGGCAGAATTTTAAAATATTACAAGCATATTCCCTAAAAAAAAAATAAAAAATAATCCTCTTTCTGTATCTTCACTCTGTGACCAACTTTCAGCCTGTACCTTTTCTCTGCTGGACTCACACGAATTATCCTCTGCAGTCTTAATGATGCCATATACTTGTTCTGCTGGGTCATATGTAGAAATTGTCATCCATAAATAAAACTAGTTGCTTATTTTTCCCTCACATCTTTTATTAGTGACCATCAACAAAAAGTTGACTGAAATGTTATAAGTGATAACAGCAACATAAGAGGCAAAATTTTCCAGGTATGTTTTTTCCAATCTCCGTTACTTTTGAAAACAGGATAGCTCAGAGATAACAAATTCATTTTCTAAGTCTGCCAGTCAATTTTGTCATTTGGTCATCAAGTACCAGATTTAAATCTGCCAGGCCGGACAGCAACTGCGTGATGGCGTTATGGCTGAGGATGATGGTGTGCTCCAGATCAGAAGAACTTTCACCAAAAAAAATCACCTTCAAAAGCTAACAGGGTCTGAGCAAAATTACCTGCTGTGGACACAACGTGGCTTTTGGAGCAGAAATTAATATTCTAGAGAGAAAAACATGATATAGTCTCAAGACATACATTCACGAAGGTGAGACTGCTGATGCTCTGTGACACACTGCACATGTCCACCCTAGCGTGGAATGGCACAGAGCCTGTAGGGGTGGGGCTGCAGTGTGCCCCCCAGAATGGGCTCCGTGCTGATCTCTGTCACCCCCTCTGGCAGCCGGAAGGTGAAGGCCCGCAGCAGGTTGGCAAAGAAAATGAAGAGCTCGGTCCTTGCTAGATGCTCCCCCAAACACACACGGTGCCCTGCAGAAGGAGCCAGGGAAGGACAGTGAGTGAAATACCCTGAAGAAGCAATCTTATCCACCCTCACACGAAGTCAAGGTATTTCTGCTGAATCTGGAATTTCTTTAGGACTTAATGAAGTCAGTGACACAAAACTTCATGTAATTCTTCCTTTAAAGAATCACATCTGCAGCTATAGGTAACTGCTCAGAGTGTCGCTTCAGTTACCTCAAAAACCTCATCTTCATTAGGCTGACAACTTTAAAGGAATTCATTCAATCATGTAAATGAAGGAAAAGGAATTACTCTTTCAGGGAGATGTTGTGCTCCAGTTTTGTATGCATAAAGCATCAGCACAACTGCTTGCAAGTACTTTACAAATGTATGTCTGGTGTTGAAATGTATGCACCAAATCAATAAACATAATCATTACTAGAGAATTTCCTTCCAAAAATAGGGTTAGATGTATACTTTAGTCAGAAGATCTCTCAATTTTCCATGTTGTTATTTGTTCAGTAGAACAAATGTTTATAGTTGGATTGGGAAATGTTACTGAAAATAATCTTGTTGATTCTGTAACTGTTTTACTTAGGTTTAAAATAAATGACCATCAGGTTTTTAATAGACATCTTAATTCTACAGTCCCCATTCAGACCACCAATGTTTGTGCTGCCAGTCTGTTTACCTATTGAGAATGGTAAAAAGGCTTCTCGGCTCACAAAGTTTCCATCCTCATCCAGAAAGTGACCAGGGTTGAACTTTCGAGGTGTTTCCCACTGCTCTGGGTCATACAACGTTGAAGCAATATTTGGAAGAATTATGGTGCCCTGAAAGGAGAACACTAAGGTAACTGTCAGTCCTGCCCCAGCAGTCAGAACCTTCTAGGTGATACCTGTCTTAGCTCACTTTCAGAGTTCAGCCTTGTGTGCTGGTAGGTTCATGTTCCCAGTAGGAACTGTGAGGAACATGAGCCTTTTTGTTTCAGATGTCAGCTCAAGCTTGACAGTGGAAGTGGCTGTGTCAGTAGAGACCAAAAACTTTATTTGTACCAAACCCATTTTCACTTCTAACACTAGAAGTTTCTGTGATTTAGTCTATGATGAAAACTAGTTGCAAACCTTCATGCTTTTCCCTGGATCTTTTAAAGGCTTTCTGCAGGCAAAATACAGTCAGACATCCTTCCAATGCCATATCAGCACAAATCAATGTGTAAATATCAATCTCCAAGGTTCTGTCTTCACTGGTTTGTAGAAACACTTGCTGAATCCCCTCTTCCATCCTGTGGCATCTCTCACTCCTGATAATGCTCTCCCAAGAGCTATGTCACTCAACTCAGCCTGGCAGATGGGCTTCCTGCCCTTGTTCCCATTCAGGCTGTGACCCAGAGGTATCCAGCCCCACTGATATTGAGAAGACCCTGGCAGAAACAGATTTTAATCTGCAGCTTGCTCTACTGATGCAGGATAGGTCTGTAGCAAGTGAGAAACTGTGTCTGTACCTTTTTGAGGGGAAAGCCAAACAAGGTGGTGTTTCTCACACACCTTCGGGGCATGCCAACCGAGACAACGTTGCTGAAGCGCTGGATCTCATGGATCACAGCGTTTGTGTAGGGCGTTTGTGTCCGATCCTCATAGCAGATTAACTGGGAAGGACCCAGAACAGCATCCAACTCCTTCTGAACTTTCTCTGTGGAGAAAGATTCACCATTGCAGGTGGAAAAACACATCAAGTGTTTTAAGAAATTCCATTTTCAAAGAATTTCCCATTTAAAACTATGAGGACAGCAACAAAAGCAATTTTTTAAACATATGTATCTTTTATAAAGAAAATAAAAGTAGCAGGATTTTCCAACAGCTTAAACATACGTGAACTCTGCTTCTGGCTCTGAACTTATTTGACTGTAGATTACAAAAAGACATTAGTTGCTCAAAGATTCAAAACTTTTTAAGAGTTGCCTTACTAACACATAAATGCAAGAGACATCCGATTTATCTTTCTGCTTTTCTTTTGGCTGGGTGCCTCAGAACCACTAAGCTCACAGCTCTCTGGAATTTAAGCAAGGTGAATCTGGGCCTTAAAAGCCTAATTCCTATTTAAAAACATGGTCCTGAAGCAACACCAACTAGAACAATGTCCAAATACCTTAAAAAAACTGGATCTGTTTCTTGGTGCCTGCTTTTTGATCAAGAATAGCAGGATTTAAATGACTTATTGCACAGAAGTGCTGAGAGCATTAACAGAAGTTTAAAATGTGATTTGTAAACTTCAAGAGGGGCAGTGCACACATAATAACAATACCTTAGACTTTAAACAAATGATCCTGTCTTTTTCCAGGCTCTTCAAAGCAACACTAAGATGCAAGGAAGCCCATTCTGCATTGATCGATTTGTGCTCATGCATATCGAGCCTGCCCAGTAGCTGCCAGTAGTCCTTTGCAAACCTGTGTTAGGTGCACCCTGACAGCAAATATTTAAGCACCTTACAGAATTTAAAATGTATATCAAGAAAGATTTTTAAGTAAATTTCCTTCTATGAAGAGCTAGCTTGCAAAAATCAAGCAAGACTCCTTCAGGATCCAGTAGTTTGAAGTGACTGATCACTGCATAAACATCCATCTCTGTTCCAGTAGTTTAGAGAATACGAACAACCTGATTCAGTGACTGGGCAAAAGGCCAAATTTTTCCATATGGTAATTAAACGAGGACAGATATACTGGGGTCAGTTCACTATGAAAGCCTAGATGCAATGTGTGATTCAAAAAGCCCAGAAGGATGATTCTGCACACACCCTGATTTTCTCAGTTTCTGGAAGTATCATCAGCACCACATCAACAGCTGCAACAGTGACCACTATTCCTTCAAGGATTGTGTTTGCCAACCCTCTGACTTCCCAAACAGCAGCTCCAATCCTCTTACTCCATTGGCTGCCCCACCACAAGCCTCAGTTTCCCAAAGACCTCAACCCTTCCACCTCAATCAAACACACATATACATACTTCCCAGACTGTTAACTCTTTCTGGGAACTGTCTTATGCCTCTGACTGCTGTAAGAGCCTGGATACAGGTGCTCTGGATCTACCAACACTGCACAGTGCAGATCTACCAGTGCAAAAGGTCCATGTGCCACTAGCCATATACCAGTATCTAGGAATAGTCTCTGATCCATGAAGACATTAAGCATTGGCTGTTCCACTGCATCAGAGATATTTGTGATGTGCTTATCTGCTTACCTTGGATGTCTGGATTGGCCACCATGTAGAGCAGGCCCCAGTTCAAAGTAGTGCTTGTTGTCTCTGACCCACCCAAGAAAAGGTCATTTATAGAATAAACCATGTTGTCTTCATTGAAAGTCGACATGGGTTCATCTTTGGACTGCAAATTTTAAGATGACATAGAAGTTTATACATGAAAGTTAGGAAAAGCAGAAAAGGGCTAAACATGATTTTATCACCGGTTCCAAGCTGCAGTGTGTCCAGCCTACAGTACAGTGCAGAGAGACTGATAAACACTATTAGACACCAAAGATTATCAATATGTAAAGCTTATGTTTCACAAATAGACAAGCTATGCTTACTCCACACTTAATCATTAAGCTAAAGGGCATCCACATAAAAGGACTGCTGGCTTAATTGTGCAAATAGTGGTACATTTAGAGTGTTTCATAAGTAAAAGTTCTCCTGAAGATGTGTACCAGCATGTCATTCTTCATGCCTCAAGTCATATTCTATCACATACTCTACCAAGCAATACAGTGATGAGGTAACAAACACTGGGCTGTCAAAAGTTCTCAACCTGTGATGTTCAGACTTCTTCTCCACTACAAGGCCACAATCACACACGCACAGCTGCTCTGGGGTTTTACAATTTTCAGATAGAAGTGGGAGGACATGTATGTATATGCTGGAACTGTGAAAGAATATTGTTATGTTTTGGGGAATTCATTGTCTACATTTAGGGAGGTTATGCTCCCATGTCTTGAACCTTTCTTTTGCCAATGGAGCAATTGGAAATTGGGAAGGATGTTTTTCCCTGTTGTAACAGCATCTAATCTTTTTATATTGCCTCTGCATAACTACTGCAGACAGTTCAATTTTTAAGAAACACATATGGATCTGTTTGGCTCTCTGAGCCACTCTTGCCTTGTCATCCCCCAGTAACACCAGTCTCATCTTGTCAATTTCTCCTCTTTCTCCTTTTTCTTCCTATTACCAACCAGAACAGGAGCAGGATTATGACCTGCTGCAGTGGAGGAGAAAGGAGAAAGGAAGAGTGTTTAAGTGGAAGCAAAAGGAGTTACAGAGGGGAAGAACAGCTCCTAATTCAGGGGCTAGGGAGGGGGATCTAATTCTCAAGAGATTCAAAGTGATACTGGTAAAGTCTAGAAAAAGGAGACATATGTCCCAACTCACAGCTTATGCAGCTCTTACCTTGAGGCCTTAAATCACTCTGTAACTTGTGCCAATGAGAAAAAATGCAGTATATTGACCTGCCCTTTAACAAAAGGATTGCAAGGCGCTATGGCCTATCAAGAATAAGAAAGGATTTAGCAAGTCCCTGGTTCCTGGATTTTCACATTAGGTTATCTATGAAAAGTAAAAGATCGTGATAGAAGGGTTTAAGACTGGATGAATGTATGATCACACAGAACAAATACTTACTTTTTCAATGTGATCCAGGTAAAAGTCAATGAAATCCTGCTGTTCATCTGGTATCCCACGCTCTGTGTGCATTCTGATCTCTCTCCTTGTAAAAGAGCTCAGGAGATCATAGCAAGACAATGCAGTCTTGTGAGGGCCAGGGAGATGGCACATCAGCCAGGGGAAGATTTCATACAGCTGCAGGAGTGACACACAAGAGGTACCACAAATTCTCTATCACTATAAAATGCATTTTAGGCTTACTAAAGAGACAAGGCAATATTCTTGTTAGCATGTGGGTTTGGCATCATTAGTAAAATACTCTTGAGAAAGGCTATGCTTCTGTTTTCAAGTTGTGAAACAGGACACCATATAATTTCTAGCTGTGTTGATGGTAAGATGCAGGGTTCCACAGGCTTTCAGCTCAACCACAAGCCAAATGAGAGTGATTATCATTACAATTAACTGTATTCATTTAGTCAATTCATATATTCAACTACAATGAACTGTATTCAGATATTTGAAAAGTGTGATCCTGCCCTCCAGTGGAAAATACAGGAAAGGAAGAAGCTGTTACAAACGGTCCTCGCCAGGATGTGCAAAAGCAACTGATTAAACCCAAAGCAAGGGAAAGCTACCAGGGGCTGGTACACAGCCTGGGTAACCACCAAAGCACTCTCTACTTATCGACCTCTCAGCAGTCCTCAACAACACTTGAAACATCTGAAACCCAGAAAAGGTGAGAAACAGTGAAAAAGCTTACATTTCTGAGTGATGCCCTCTAGAAAAGAAGGGATTAGATGTCACAACCAGATTAATTTTATCCTCTCTTACCGTTTGGGAAAATCTTGCCTAAAAACAACTGCTTCCCGATAGCTAAAAAGTTAATTCTGATTTTCAGCCTGTGTTTATGCCTGTGTAATTGTATCCATTGTTCTTGTATCCACAATGTATTTTCTCTTAACAGATCATTTTCTGCTGGAATAGTAACCCCATGATTTATTTATTGGCAGAAGTTTTATCATTTCTTAATCTTCATTTTGCTGAGCTCTTCTTGTACTCTCCTAATTATCCTGCAGAAAGCACATTAGTAGTTGTTCACTAGAGTCTGGCTGAACGAGATAGACTGTCTTTTTGGAAAATCAGTTCTTACTGCCAGATACCAAATTATTGGTTAATCATTGACTTAATCATAGTCCAGCCCTTGGTAAATTCATATAGAACTTCATGTCCTTTTTGTTTAGTTCCATCTCTGGAACCATTTTCTTCTTTCAAAATGTGTTCAGAAGCCCTACATACAGCTGTGGTCTGACGAGTCATATATGGTTAGATTACGTGTTCCTACTCTCAAATGCACTTTCCAGCTACCACGACACCTGAACTGTAAGTGGAATTTAGCTGTTAATGTTCAAGACAGGAACTGAGCCCATCCATGTTCCTGGCAGCTGCTTCTGCCAAAAATCCTCATCCATTTCTGGAGGGGCCCTGTCCACAGCATTCTCCCATTCAGTGCCTAGCAGCATGGAACCCAGTTAAGAAATGGGGATGTGGACCCAGCAATGTCCACTTTTTACATATTACTGAGTACCCTTTCCATCCAGGAAGTGGGAAGATTGCAGCCCACCTCAGAATGGTCTGAATCCCTGTCCTTATTTCCCAGAACAGTGTCTTATTCACTGGAGTAAAACAAAGCTAGAATAGGAAGGAGAGAAGGAGTTATATTTCTTGCCTTCCACCACTACACACAACTTGAGAGGACAAAAGCCAGGCTAAGGAAAAGGGAATCTGATCAGAACTCAGTGAGAAGAATGCTCCATGGGATGTGGGGTAAAACTCTGCACTACAGGGATTGTGTGTTTTATATTGGGAGCCTACTGCATAAGACATATGGGACAACTTTAGAAGAAGAATTGTAACCAGAACTGCTGGGCAACTTTGAATACATTTCTGTGCAAGGGCTGATTGATCACCAAGCTTACAGGTATATTTTCTGGTTTAGTACTTCCTGTCTTCTGCTGCCTGTGTCTGGAGCTGCCCAGGGTGAAGGTGTGGAGTTTATCTAGTAAGTCCTCAAGTCTCCACTTCTTATAGAGGAACTGGAGATAATTAGCCACAGGCAAAACACTTAAGTATTTGAATCATTCTTCTCTCTGTTGAGTGTTTATAAAACAGTGTCTAAACTTAGCATGTGAATCACTTTCAGACCTGACATGCATTAATTAACAATCATGGTACCCCAAGGCAGGAATTTCTGCCTAACACCTACATCCTGAATCTGCATTTCTCACTTTCTGTCTTACTCAGAAAAAGACAACACATTGTTCACTTACATGATGAACAAAGCTGCCTCCAAATTTGAATAGACACTCTGTGGCTCTAATCAGTTCATGGAAGTTTTCATCCTCTCTAGAGAAGCGATGTCCAAAAACAACAGCACAAATTACATTTGAGACGGAATGAATGAGAGGAAAAGAAGGATCCAGGGGTTTCCCTGCAACCATAATAATAAATGTCAATGTTAACGTCTTCTATTCTCCTTCAGTGAAATGAGAGTATAGGTTCCCCAAAGAACTTTCAACAGAGCACTGAATTTCACAGAGAAGCAGTAATCATTAGTATCAAACCAATTATTTTCAACTATGGTGCAATCCCATAATTCCAGGAATATGTGGCATCCTAAAGAGATACCAAACGTGCAAAATATTTTGTAATCATAGAGCAAATTTAGAGGTAAGAAATAATAATAATAAATATATATATATATATATCTCCAAGTTTGCTGTCTGGCAAATTCAAAATAGGTCTCAAGCATGGTAATTACTGAAAACACTGTGGTCAAAGGAAATCTGAAGAGAGAACTGTCCTTGTGGCCCTTTGTTCAACTTGTTCCAGTGTGTTGATGCCTCTCTTGGACTAGGGAGCCCAGAACTGGGCCCAGCACTCCAGATGAATCTCACCAGTGCTGATCATAGGGGAAGGATCAGCTGTCTTGATCTGCTGGCAATGCCTCTCCTAGTGCAGACAAGAATGATACTGGCCTTCTTTGCCTCAAATTGCTGGTTCACATATGGTGCTGGTTCATAAAGATATAGAGACATCATCAATGCTGATTAATTAAGTTTTTTAATGCAATTTGTATGCACTCTGTAAAGCAGCAACTAGAATCTTGTCTTCATTACAATATTTTACCCTAATCAGTTCAGTCAGGAGCATGTGAACTGGATTTCCCAATACTGAACATTATGCAAAGGCAAAGTAAATCAGGACAGGCTGTGGCTAGCATTAGAACTATTAAAAGTAATGAAATCTACCCTAATTCCCATGGTTTAAGAACTAGGAGAAACTGAGATGTGATCATGTGTGTAAGAAAGAAAAGCCTAGAATATTAAGTTGTTACACAAAGATAATTAAGGGATCTGAACATCTGATGTAAGAGAGGCTGGGAGATTTGGGACTTTTTAGTCTGGAGAAGGGAGGTATCTTAAACATGTATAAATCCTGATGAAGTAGAATAAAGAACATAGAGCTAGACTTTTCTCAGTGGTATCTAGTGAGGCAATGGGCAAAACCTGATATGGTAAATTCTGCCTAAATATAAGAAACTTTTTCACTGTGGGGTTGATTGAATAAGTTACTGGAACAGGTTACCCAGTGAGGTGGTAAGGTTTCCATTCTTGCCAGTATTTAAAACCCAACTCGACTCAGCCCTAGGAAACCTGCTCTGACTGACCCTTCTTTGAGAAGGGGTTGGACTAGACCATCTTCAGAGATCACTTGTCACTTTAAGCATTCTGTGGTATAAACAATAAATAAGCTTTAGTCTTGCTTCCCAATTTTAGTAGTTTTGCAAAGAACTTTGAAAAAGAATAGTCTCCCACTGGGTTTGAAAACACAGGACTGGGGTCTTTACATTTTCAGTCTATTCTACATAGACACTAAAACCCTGCAAACTCTCTTGTGGAAAAAAAAAAAAAAAGTACCCTTTCTGGAACAGGTTACCCAGTGAGGTGGTAAGGTTTCCATTCTTGCCAGTATTTAAAACCCAACTCGACTCAGCCCTAGGAAACCTGCTCTGACTGACCCTTCTTTGAGAAGGGGTTGGACTAGACCATCTTCAGAGATCACTTGTCACTTTAAGCATTCTGTGGTATAAACAATAAATAAGCTTTAGTCTTGCTTCCCAATTTTAGTAGTTTTGCAAAGAACTTTGAAAAAGAATAGTCTCCCACTGGGTTTGAAAACACAGGACTGGGGTCTTTACATTTTCAGTCTATTCTACATAGACACTAAAACCCTGCAAACTCTCTTGTGGAAAAAAAAAAAAAAGCTACCCTTGATTTCAGAAGAGGACAGGGAAGCTTATACATTAAAGACATCAGACTAATAACAAAAGTCAGTCAGTCTTTATTGCAGAGGTACCTTTCATACTTGCAAAGAAGTCTACCAGGTAGCGGGCCTCTTCTTGAACTCGATGCTCCAGACCTCTTTTCCCCAGACCAAGGGTGCGCAGAGTCCTCAGTGCAAACCTCCTCTGCTGCTTCCAGGTGTGGCCGGTTGCCAGCATAATCCCTGCATGTATCCAAGGAAGAGCTCTTTATCATGCTAATATCTGTTATAAACAGAGGCTACATTAAGAGATTTACTAAGCCATGGAATTAAACTATTGCATTGCCTATGAACACAAAGCTGTAAAGGAACAGATGTGGCATGTAGGCCTGTGAGCAGGGCTAAAATGGACAAACTCAACCAGGCAGTAAGACTACTTGAAGGATTAAGCTTGATCCAAGACAAGCAGTTATTTCAGAAAGTTTGACAGCTGCTGCTCTTATTACTTCTCAAGCGCTTGCCTCCTGCTCTCTTCAATGCTTGGAGCTCATGTGACCACGGTAATGATTCTCAAAAAGAGAAGAAGAGGAAAGAGTTCTGACTTTCCCTGATCAGGGAGAAAAGTTACTGTCCTTGAGGCAGAAAAATTCAGTACTTGGTCTTCACATGAAATAAACAACATATACTAAGCAGGTGACTCACTTGCATCCTCACAGACAAGCCCTGCTGTTGTGGTACCTTTGGAAGTTCTTACAAGCTACAAAAGATCTGCAATTTGCCAAGAAAATGTTTCTGTGCAATATTTGTGGCTAGAAACTCTTACCTTTTCCTTTGGCCATAGCTCTAAAGAAAGGAGATACTAGTCTCCCAGAAACATCTTCAGAGTGTGTAGTCATACCATCCTTAACTGCTTGAAATCCATTCAGTATGATCGCTGGGGTCTGTCCAAACCATAAGGTGTATACGTTGCCATGATATTTTGCCAGCTACAGGAGGGAAAGAAGCCAGGAAAGCACAGCTGAAATGCCACATACTGCAAACAGAGGATGAACCTGTTTTTACACTGATTTCAGGACCAGCTCTAAGGTGGAATGATGTTTTCCATCCTTCTCACATATCTTTTCCAGCATTCACTGGAAACAACTGAGAATTCCAGCTTTTGAGAGCCACAGATCTATGCCAAGAAATGCTAAGTGGCTTTTATTACTTTCTATATAAACCAAGGCTCAGTTCATAATTATTAATGTGATAGAGTATTTTCTATGCATTAATTTATTTCAAGAAGGTTGCTGTAATTTCTGAGGGCAGAATGGCAAAAACGGAACACAGAAATGTCAGGAGTAACTAGCTCATAGAGATTGGACCAATTACTTTCTTCTTTCCCCCCAAACATTCGCGTATTTAGGTACGGGAACTTGAGTAAGACCACGTGTCTCGCAGTGTCCCTACTTCTTGTCTGAACCTGTCCTTTGGTCACAAAAACAGGCATGTCTTGTCCAAATAAGTGACAGAAGCCACTGGAGTTGCCAACTGAGGATCCTAAAAGCACTGCAAGAACCAACAGAATGAAACACAGGTGGCTCTGTGCACAGAAGTACTCATCAAAAAATGACTAACAAAAGGTTCATGCGCTTTTTTTTAATCCTGAAAATAGAAAAGGCATATACACACATAGTGCATCTTAAGTATCTATCTACTGTTCAAGCTAGACAGTGCCAGTGCTCAGAAAGATAAAAATCCATGCTGTGGAAGTAATTTTTTTAAATAGCTTTTCTTTTCCTTAACTGCAAATCTGATATATTATCTGAAATATATTTAATTCTAAAGGAAATAATTTTTCATATTGATTTGTCAAATGTAATTTTAAGGGGTGATAGAAGGATATAAAGTTTCACAAGAATTTCTCAAATTCATTGTTAAAAGGTGATGGGTTTAAGCATCACAATGTTTTTCACACATTCAGAATTTTCTATACAAGTTTTCTTAGCTCGGCAAACTACTTTAGACTGCAGTAAGTTTTTCCTACTTTGCCAACCAAACCAGCAGCTCCAAACCAAATTGAGTGGCAAGTTAACAATTCCAGTACGTTACCAACATAGTTTTGGGAGAGGATGTTTTAACATAGCAAACAACACGAGAAAAGGGGAAATGACAGAGGCTTTTAAACAATCAGGAGTATATGAAAATAAATACCTTCATGAGGATATCACGATTAAACTGAAAGTTCAGCTGTATCAAGGTCCCCAAAACTGGAAGAGGGATGGGTCCAGGAGGAAGATGTCTCCGTACTCGTTGCAACTTCAAAAACCACACAGTCAGAAAAAATACAGCCAAGGCTATAAGAACTTGACTTACTATCAACATTTTAAAGGCTGTTTTTACCAGCTTGTCTTTATTGAAAATAGTGTGTTGAAGCTATGAAGACTGGTTGCTCAACCAGTTTTTCCATAAGAGTTTATATTTCATGTAATAACTATTCCCCACCCCTAATCTTCCCTCTTCATTAACAACCACTCCCTTTTCATCCCACTCATTACAATATCCTGCTCAAGCACAGTTATTGGATGCATACTCCTCTCCGTCTTCTCATTCAGATTATATTTACCAAATATGGATCACAGGATTTGTAGGAACAGTGTCTCAAAAGACTTAATGCCAAGATCTTCCAGGTGATGTAGATAAACATCTCTGTACATACACTCTCCACCTCATCTTCTGAAACAACTGTGGATGGTATGTGCTCCTACAAATACTTCATGAATGCTTTTAGAAAAGCTATAGCCATACATACAAATTAAGCATGCAAATGTAAGCGGATATTAAATCTTGGAGTTTTTTAAGTGTTTTGTATATATTCCATGTACACATATAGTCAGTGATGGCAAGGCTGATGAAAGCTAAAAGCCCATATTTACTTTAAGATAGATACATGAGTATCTAAAGCTTAACACAAAAAGTAAAATTTGTTAGGCTTTCAAATTTAACTGAAAACATAACTGGTTTAATATTTAATCTCACTTTGTTTAATCACAGAATCCTAGGGGTTGGAAGGGACCTCAAAAGATCATCTAGCCCAACCCTCCTGCCAGAGCAGGATCACCCAGAGCACATCACACAGGAATGTGTCCAGGTGGGTTTTGAATGTCTCCAGAGAAGGAGACTCCACAATCTCTCTGGGCAGCCTGTTCCAGTGCTCTGTAACTCTCACAGTAAATTAGTTTTTTTCTGATGTTTACGTGGAACCTCCTATGTTCCAGTTTGCACCCATTGCCCCTTGTCCTATCACTAGACAACACTGAGAAGAGCCTGGCTCCATCCTCCAGACACTTGCCCTTAACATATTTGTAAACATTGATGAGGTCACCCCTCAGTCTCCTCTTCTCCAAACTAAAGAGACCCAGCTCCCTCAGCCTTTCCTCATAAGGGAGATGTTCCACTCCCTTCATCATCTTTGTGGCTTTGTGCTGGACTTTTTCAAGCAGTTCTCTGTCCTTCTTGAACTGAGGGGCCCAGAACTGGACACAATATTCCAGATGTGGCCTCACCAAGGCAGAATAGAGGGGGAGGAGAACCTCCCTTGACCTACTAACGACACCCTTCCTAATACACCCCAGGATGCCACTGGCTTTCTTGGCTACAAGGGCACATTGCTGGCTCATGGGCATCCTCCTGTCCACCAGGACCCCCAGGTCCCTTTCACCTACACTGCTCTCCAGCAGGTCAGCCCCCAACCTGTACTGGGACATGGTGTTGTTCTTCCCCAGGTGCAAGACTCTACACTTGCCTTTGTTGAATTTCATCAGGTTTCTCCCTGCCCAACTCTCCAGCCTCTCTAGGTCTCCCTGAATGGCAGCACAGCCTTCTGGTGTGTCAGCCACCCCTCCCAGTTTAGTGTCATCAGCAAACTTGCTGAAGGCACACTCTGTTCCCTCATCCAGGTCACTGATGAAAATACTAAATAGTACCGGTCCCAGCACCGACCCCTGAGGGACTCCACTAGTCACAGTCCTCCAATGAGATTCTGTCCCATTGATCACAACTCTCTGACTTCCTCCTTTCAACCAGTTCATGAACCACCTCACTACCTGACCATCAAGACCACACTTCCTCAGTTTATCTACGAGTCTGCTGTGGGAGACAGTGTCAAATGCTTTACTGAAATCAAGATAAACTACATCTACTGCCCTACCATCATCTATCCACCTAGTTACTTACTCATAGAAGGCTGTAAGGTTGGTCAAACATGACTTCCCCTTGGTAAAACCATGTTGACTGCCCTTAATGACCCCCTCATCCTTGATATGCCTAGAGATAGTGCCAAGAACAAGTTCTTCCATCATCTTTCCAGGGATGGAGGTGGTCTATAGTTACCCAGATCCTCCTTTTTGCTCTTTTTGTAGACTGGAGTGACATATGCTTTCCTTCAGTCCTCAGGCACCTCTCCTGTTGCCCACAACTTAACAAAGATGATGGAGAGTGGCCTAGCAATGACTTCCACCAGTTCCCTCAGCACCCACAGGTTCATTCCATCCGGACCCATCGATTTATGGATGTCCAGATTGCTTAACTGATCCCTAACCCAATCCTCATCTACCAAAGCAAACTCCTCCTTCATCCTGACTTCTTCTGGGGCTTTAAGAATCTGGGACTCCTGGGGAGAGTCTGCAGCAGTAAAGACAGAGGCAAAGAAGGCATTCAGTACTTCTGCCTTCTTTACATCCTGTCACCAGGGCACCCACCTCATTCACCAGTGGGCCTTTATTGCCTTTAGTGTTAGTTCTATCTGCAGTGAATCTGAAGAAGCCCTTTCTATTGTCTTTGACAACACTAGCAGGGTCTAGTTCCAAAGAGGCCTTAGCTTTCCTTATTGCCTCCCTACATCCTCTGACAACAGTCCTATATTCCTCCCAAGTGATCAGCCCCTCCTTCCATGATCCATAGATCCTCTTTTTCCACTTGAGTTTGCCCCGCAGTTCCCTGTTTAACCATGTGGGTCTCCTCCTGGCTCCCTTATTTGATTTCCCACCCATTGGGATGCTCTGATCCTGAGCTTGAAAGAAGTGGTCCTTGAATGTTGACCAACTATCTTGAGCCCCTTTACCATCTAGTACCCTCTCCCATGGGTTTCTCTTAACAATTGATTGAAGAGGTCGAAGTTGGCCCTGCGGAAGTCCAGGTATTCTGTTCCTCCCACACAGGATCCTGCACTCCACCATTTCATGATCACTGCAGCCAAGGCTGCCATTGACCATTGCCACTATTTTCCTAGCTTATTTAGAGCAGCTAACTTCACTGAGGGTTTTGCCTGCTTCTGAGTTTCCCCTTTCAATTTGATGTAAGTGTGGATACCCTAAAGGATATTTTGAGCAATCATCACAAAGCTTGCCATATAAACAAACCATATGCACAGAAAGTACATCTATTATGAAACAGAGATTAAAAAAACATAAATGGGCAAAACCCACTAGGAATCCTAAGCTACAATCAGAATGAAAATGAAGGGCCGCAGCAGGAACCAGTCATGGCATGCACATGTCAGACTTAGTAACTTGAGATTAAACAGTCTGTAGCTAAAGCTCTTTGCCAAGCCTCACCACGGGCAGGAAGCATTGGGGGAGCTGGCATCCCCCCAAACAGACCACAGAAACCAAGTGAGAGGGATTCCAGGCACCACATAACAATGACAGTTCATAGAATCACAGAATGGTTTGGGTTGGAAGGGACCCTAAAGATCATCTAGTTTTAATACCCCTGCATGGACAGGGACACCTCCCACTAGTCCAGGTTGCTTAAACACCTGTCCAACCTGTCCTAGAATGCTTCCAGGGATGGGACATATACCAAATGGGTTTACAGCCCTGTCTTACACATCTAGATTGAAATGCTAATGGATAAATGCTTCCCTGTGAAAAACATCCCCCAGTATCAAAACACTAGTAAAAGGAATACCTTTTCACTACTCTTCTGAAAACCTGCCAAGAAGACTTGTGCATCAGCTTGCTTCTTTCAAGTACCACCTTTGGGACAGAAATTTTTTCCAAGGATTTGTGGCTCTGGGACATGAGACACACTTACCCAGAGAGAACAGCCTGGAGTTTGCTAGCCCACAAGGTTGAATTAGCCTCCAACCACGGTGTTCTGTAACCACTACACCATAACTAATTCATGTGTATTAACCAAGAGAGGGCCATTTCTCTGTTTCTGCATGAGCTTTGTTTATAATAAAAAGCTTATTTTCCAAGGCACTCATTTCTAATTTAGTTCTTCACTTTTACAGGGAAAAGATTTATCTTTAAAAGAAATTCTGTGGAGTTGTTTTACCTGCCCTGTATCCAGTGTAATTTTACATTTACTTAAGTTTTACCAGTTAATCAGAAATGTAGTACCCTCAATGGCCTTTTAGATATGCAGACTTTTCACCTAAATTATTTTGCTCAGAGAAAGTATTTTTGTCCATTGGTCTTTTTCATGGGGCAGTAAAGGAGTTAAGGCCAGAACCTCCACCACTGCCAGGGCTGCAGCCTCACAGTAGAACCTCTCCTTCTTCCTTTGGCTTTACAGCCTTCAGTTTTCACATTATTAGTTATTTCTCACAAATCCAACTATTCAAATACCATTTGTCCCTTCAACCCCTTGTCAGATTCACCCATACCCTTTGCCATAGTCTTAGCACTAGCCCAAAGCTCTTCCTTCCTTATTCCCTTGTCATAATTGCTGTTATCTGAGGTTCCATGCCTCCTCTCATGCTCTGGCCGCTTCAAGGGGCTTTAAAACCTTGTTCTTGTTGATGTTTACCCGAGGGAAGATGATTTCCTGCCTGTCCCAGACTTCGGCTCTCTGCTCCCCTCCAGGATGCCCGTTGCGTAAACCTGCAAGTCAGAAGCCGCCTTCCCCTCGGGTTGTCTCCGGGCACAATTCCAAGGGCTTATGTTCCCACGTCTCTCAGCAACAGTTCGCCGATGACAGCCCGGCCGCCCCCCTGCCCGCCGCC